AGGGAGCCTCTGCTTGTCTGCGACTCCAAGGAATCAGAAGTGTGACAGGATGTCAGTGAGACTGTAAAGAGGTAGAGATAAGCAAGATGAAAGGTAGAGCGGGGAAGAAAGTGGGGAGTGGGGAAAAGTCAGAGGAAGATGTTACAGTATAGAATACGAGGTAGAAAAGAGGCTGTGTGAAAAAGGGAATGGCTGGAGATCAGGAAAACAGGAATGAGGGAAGCTAAAAGTGTGACAGGATATAAGCAATCAGGGCTCCTGGTAGAGGTGATATCTTTTATTAGACCAACAAGATGTTATCAAAAAAAAATCTTTAATTGCAAGCTTATGGGCACAAACACCCTTCATCAGGCATCAGAGAAAAGATTGTAAAAGTTCTTCTGGGTAAAAATGAAAGTTCATATTTCATAAGATTTCACAGAGGGTTCAATAGATGGGAAAAAACCCCTGGGCAGTAGTTTCATAGTTGGTAGGGTCAGAAGGGACCTGAGCAGATCATCAAGTCCGACCCCCTGCCATGGCAGGAAAGAATGCTGCGGTCAAACGACCCCGATTATCCAGCCTCCTTTTGAAGACCCCCAGGGTAGAAGTGAGCACCACTTCCCTTGGAAGTTGGTTCCAGATCCTAGCCGCCCGGACTGTGAAGTAGTACTTCCTGATATCTAGCCTGAATCTACTCTTTGAATAACTTATGGCCGTAATTCCTTGTTACTCCCGGCAGTGCTCGGGGGAACAGGGACTCTCCCATTGCCTGCTGGTTCCCCTTGGCCAGTTTGTAGACAGCCACTAGATCCTCCCTCAGCCTTCTCTTGTGGAGGCTGAACAGGTTGAGGTTCCATAGCCTCTCCTTGTAGGGCCTGCCCTGCTACCCCCTTGTGACCGCCAGGCTTCGAATAACCGCTCTTGAGCGGCCTTTGTTCTACTGGTGGATGTCAAGCACCTCCCGGGTTCGTGTCGTTGCCAGAGTAGTTCTCTTCTTCCCGCGTTGCCAACCCCGTTCTCACCTGCCACAACTTGCTGTTCCTCAGTAGGTGGGGTCGGTTGACAGGATACTCGGTGGCCCAGGGTTCGCCCGGCGGTCACTCACGGGGCTCCACCACCCCTACACCCCAGCCTCATGCCTCCTTCTGTGTGCTGCTCAGCCGTTATCCGCGGCCTCTACTCGCGGGGTCACCCTCTCTGCTGTTACGTTTAGATGCCAGTGGCTTAAGGCCCTGCTTGCCCATGTGGGCCTTTCCCACAGCCCTTCACACCTCCGTCCCTTCCTTCAAGGGTACATACAACCATGAGGGGGGAGCCCTACCAAGGCTTCTCCACAGCCCCACCCCTTGGGCACTCGTCCCTATCTCCTATGCCCCTTCTCCCGGGGTAATAAACGTGTTACCCAAAAACCAACCAGTAAGCTATTCCCTGCCTCTTTCTATCCTTTTCCCCGGAGCCTAACAGGGAGAGGATGTTTTCCTCTTGACCCATCACTTCCCAGATCTACTTCCACCTGTTCCTCAATCCGGTGGAACCCGGCGGCGATACCCGCCTTGACCACAAACCCCTTTAGGGCTCTCCCGGGGTCTTCACCCCCTGTCATGCCTTCCTCTGCACCCCATTGTCCCGGCACTCCCGCCTGGGTTCCGCCCTGCTTCCAGGTGCCGCTTCAGCTCCACCTCTGGCCGGCAAACCTGTTGCTCCCTCGTTGTCCTGCGCGGGCTCTCGACGGGGTACTCCACCCTCCACTGCCTGTGTCTGTTCCCGCTTGCCAGGCTCCTCGGGTCCAGCAAGTGGGGTCTTCCCTGCTGCCAGCATCAGCCACAGCTTCGTTCCTTGGCTATCCGCCCCCACTGCAGCAGTGGCCGCCATTTTTATTTCTGCCGGCCAGCGTCTGACATCACCAGCCGGCCATAATTACATAAAAAGGCGGCTAACAAGCCACGCAGGTTCCTCCTTCCACCCCATGTGCGTCCTGTCCCGAGCTGCTGGTAAGAGCCGCTCGTTATTTTGACTCCCGGAACACCCCGATCATGCGAGTGGCCCTCCTCTGGACCCTCCCGACGCTATCCTCATCCCTCCTGAAGTGCGGCACCCAGAACTGGACGCAGTACTCCAACTGCGGCCTGACCCTTGTCGCATAGAGGGGGAGGATCACCTACTTGGCCCTGCTCATGACGCATCTGTGGATGCATGACAAGGTGTGGTTAGCCTTCCTGACTGCGTCCCCACACTGTCAGCCCATGTTCATTTTGGAATCAATAATGACTTCAAGATCCTTTTCTGCCTCTGCGCTGATGAGAAGGGAGTTCCCCAGCCTGTAGGTAGGCTGCTGGTTCTTCCTCCCCAGGTGCAGTACCCTGCACTTGTCAGTATTCAATCCCATTCTATTCTCATCCGCCCACCCCTGTAACCTGTCTATATCTAGTTGCAGCCTGTCCCTCTCCTCCAGCGTGCCTACTTCTCCCCGCATTTTAGTGTTATCCGAGACTTTGAACAAGGTTCTTTTCACCCCCTTGTCCAAATTGCTGATGAAGATGTTGAACAGTGCAGGCCCAAGGACAGAGCCCTGGAGGACCCCACTGCCCACATTCCTCCAGGTTGAAAATGACCCATCCACCACCACTCTCTGGGTGCGGCCCTCCAGGCAATTTGTGACCCATCTGACTGTGTAGGTATCTCCTGTGAGGCTGTAAGGAGCTGGTAAGGAGAGCAGAGACTCCTTACCACCTAAGAACTGCTGCTCAGAGGGTTTTTCCATCTATTGACCCCTCTGAGTGGGTGCCTGGTGCCTCCTGAGTTCAGGGAACACTGCCCTGCCCTCAGCAGCCAGTTGGGGACACAGGCCGGGGGGGGGGGGCACAGCTGATTAAACTGACCCAGAAATGCCAGCGGTGCTTCTCCTGGTGTCCACACACCCCAGCCAGCACTCTCAGGGTGGCACCAGCACTCCCACAAGCAAGGAGTGCTGGCTGTCAGGGGGAGCACCAGCCAGCACTCAGGGGGTGCGCGTGCACCCCCTTGCCCCTTCTATGCCTCGCCATTGCCCCTCTGTGAAATACTATGAAACGTGAACTTTCATTTCTAGCCAGAAGAACTTGTACAATCTTTTCTCCAATGCCCGCTGAAGGACGTTTGTGGCCAAAAGTTTGCAATCAAAGACTTTTTTTTTTTTTTGCAAAAATCTTGTTGGGCTAATAAAAGGGATTGCCTCTACCATGAGCCCGGATTGCTTTTTCCTGTAGACCAATATAGCTACAACCTGGATACCTGACAGGATCTGGGAAGATATCACCAAAACCCCAGCTTGTATGAGTTAGGGATGGTAGCCGGGGATACGTGAAGCACCCCCTGGGCTCTGCCTGCTTGAGGTTCACCCTCCCAGCCCCACGTGACCCCTGACTCCCCAAGGCTCAGAGCACGCAACCAGCGCTGTTTGGAAGGTAGAGGGGCCACGCTGGAGCAAGGGGGAGTGCCCGCCCTGGCACGTGGTGCCGCCCTGCGCCTGGGCCAGAGACGGGGGGGTGAGGGGAAGTTTTTCCCGCCAAAGCGGGACCCCGAGGGCTCAACGAACACAAACACGCCACCCCCGCCTCAGCCCCGCGGTACGTCACAGTGGGGGGCCGGTGCTCTGCGAGCACTGTCCAATCACAACGGCCGCCAGGCCCTGACGCCATCGGAGGGGGCAGGGCTTGCCCGCCAGGGGACGGGGTGGGCGTCAGGCGGCTGGGGCTGGTGGGTAAAGGGGGTGGGGTCGCCGCGCCAGTGACGTAGTTGGAGTCGCTGCTGCTGCCGCCGCCGGGCCCTGCCCTGCCCCCTCCCGGCCGGGGCGAGGCGGGGGCGGCGCGCCCC